CTCCAAAGAATGGGTAACATTAAACTAATCTCCAAAGAATGGGTTACATTAAACTAATCCTCGCAGAATGAGTAACATTAAACTAATCTCCAAAGAATGGATAACATTAAACTAATCTCCAAAGAATGAGTAACATTAAACTAATCCTTGCAGAATGAGTAACATTAAACTAATCTCCAAAGAATGGGTTACATTAAACTAATCCTCGCAGAATGAGTAACATTAAACTAATCTCCAAAGAATGGATAACATTAAACTAATCCTCAAAGAATGAGTAACATTAATCTCCAAAGAATGAGTAACACTAAACTAATCCTCGCAGAATGAGTAACATTAAACTAATCCTCACAGAATGGGTAACATTAAACTAATCTCCAAAGAATGGGTAACATTAAACTAATCCTTGCAGAATGAGTAACATTAAACTAATCTCCACAGAATGAGTAACATTAAACTAATCTCCAAAGAATGGATAACATTAAACTAATCTCCAAAGAATGAGTAACATTAAACTAATCTCCAAAGAATGGGTAACATTAAACTAATCCTCACAGAATGAGTAACATTAATATAATCTCCAAAATACACAACACTATCTGCTTTGATGAAAGAATGTTTAATTTAAGAGATTGCTATGTGTGTAACCATTAAATTCTCAACCTTAGTATAGAAGCTGAAACGTCGTTTCCTTTTCTTTCAAAAGGCAGTTGCAGTCCATTAAAGTTTTCAAACCTATATGTATACTGTACCTAAAGATCCACTGGAACAGTTTTTTAATTATTCTCATTGATATCTCACCCCTCTTTGGTTATATTTATAAATTATTTTATTATATTAAGTTTGCTTCTTTTTGTCAGAAAGGGCTAACCAGAACAAGGGTTTTTGTGTGGAATTACAATATTTATAAGTTATCTTTGATTTAAGATAAGCATTATTTTATAGTAACAGAAAAAATTATTGTTAAATAGTTAAAGGTTAGGAAATTTAGTTTTATTTAATGAACCTGCCATACATGATTGACTATTAACTTCGAGAAATATTTCTTATTATCTTTGATTTAGGAAGTAAATTCAGAAGATAAAGTTAAAAATAATACTACTAGAAGAAGTTTAGAGGATGCTGGTTATGAACCAACAGAAGAAGAGACTCGACGAATACAGCAAATTTTATCAAAGTCTCTGTAAAAACCTGATATAAAGTCCTTAATAAAGAGAAGAATTTGATAGATTTATAAAATCAAGAATTGATAATTGAATTCATTTTAAAATAAATTATTTATTAATTAAAATATGTGTGCTTGTGTTTTTTGAATGTGTGATTATATTTATGAATATTAAGAATTCTCTGTTGTTGTAGCATAATATGCAAATATATTTTTGCTGTGAGGTAACAGGTATCTGTTTATGAAACAAGAAATGTTTGATTTATTAAAATGAGCTACAGGTGTAGTAAGAATCAAGGATAGGTTACATTCTGGTCTGTTGATTAGTTAAATGTTAAAGGGGTTTATGTCTGAATTTCAAAATTGAAAGACTAAGGAAGTAGGCTGAACATGATACAGTGGCTAGTGTGCCGGACTTTGGATCTGTGGGTCCAACATTAGTGTCTCATTACTGAAATAAATATATAAAATATTGCAATCCTATTTTAAAGCTGTGAGTGTGTTATAAGTGCAACCATCAGAACCCACTATTTTGTCAGACCAGTGTGGGTACTGTTAACTTCCTGCTAGTCTAACAGCTCAAAGTTAAAATGGTAAGTGCAGATAGCCTTGGAGTAGATTGCACAAATATCCAAATAACAAACAAGTATTCTAAGAAAGTATGAATGTCTAGAACAGTTAACATTTAAAGTGTTGACACCTTTTTATGTATGTATCAGTATATATATAAAGAAGCTAGTCCAATTTGAACTCTGTTCACTTACCTTGTCAATGTATAAACACTAACGTCTCCATCTTAAGCTCTGTTCTCTTATCAAGTCAATGTATAAACACAAATATGTCCAACTAAGCTCTGTTCACTTACCTTGTCAACGTATAAACATAAACATGACCATCTAGGCTCTGTTCACTTACCTTGTCAATGTATAAACACTAACGTCTCCATCTTAAGCTCTGTTATCTTATCAAGTCAATGTATAAACACAAATATGTCCAACTAAGCTCTGTTCACTTACCTAGTCAACGTATAAACATAAACATGACCATCTAGGCTCTGTTCACTTACCTTGTCAATGTATAAACACTAACGTCTCCATCTTAAGCTCTGTTATCTTATCAAGTCAATGTATAAACACAAATATGTCCAACTAAGCTCTGTTCACTTACCTAGTCAACGTATAAACATAAACATGACCATCTAGGCTCTGTTCACTTACCTTGTCAATGTATAAACACTAACGTCTCCATCTTAAGCTCTGTTATCTTATCAAGTCAATGTATAAACACAAAT